GCTAGAGGTAGAGGTGTAGGTAGGGAGTGAGACGGAGGCCATACCTGCGTCGGCGGAGATCTTACCTGGGCGCCATAGCTGGTCTTCGCACCAGCACCCTGCAGCACAGAGGAGACACGCGGCGACAGTTTGTACGTGGCGAGAGTTACCTGCAGGTGAGATACCGAGGAGGACAACATCTTCTTCTTCTTCTTGCTCTTGCCCTCCATCTCTCCTCCTTCCTCCTTACCTCTTCTTCTTCTTCTTCTTCTTCTTCTTTCAGAGGGAGATAGAGAGAGAGGTTACTGGAAGACGATACATCGGGCATGAAGCGCAGAATCTGATTCGACATTTTGGTGGCAGACATTGATTGGACATTCGGTAGGGAGACTATTTTTGGACTTCGCTATTGCGATCTTGGTCTTCTCCCTCGTCTCCATCTCCATCTTCGTCTCGCCTCTCCCCCCCATCTCCTAATCCATGATATCTCCCATGTGTGTGATCAGGGATGGACCCTTTTTCTATGTATGCAGCCCCTCCTCTCTCTCACATGTGTGGTGTATGATGGGGTGTCGTGTCAGTATCTGACAGGTCAGGTCATATCTTTGAGTCTTCCGTTGCGCTACATTGTGCTATTTTCATATATATCTGGATGTGCATTGCTTGTTGATGGTTTGCTCACACTGTATTGTCCATTTGAGTCCTTTTCATCACTTTGCAGATCCTTGGCTCTATATACGTCGCTCAACTGAGCATGTATCACCATAGACAGCTGTATATCGGGAAACTCGGCCGTTGGTGCACAGTGATAGAGGTCTGGCTGCAAAACCACCTTCGACAGATGACAAGGGCCCTGAGGCCTCACTTTCAAGGGATTTGAGGGCACCGACCAAAGGGAGAAAGTTAGCTAAGAGTGCAGCATTTTGCAAAGCTGCATGCTCCACTGAGTTACATTTAGGTCCTTACAGAGGCATCTGAGAGTCCCAAGCAGATGACAAAACTCACTTGCCGATGACAAGCCTCAGATCTCAACACCTACAGAGGCACGGGAGATAAAGGTGCACTTCAGGAGGCCTTGAGTCAGCTGAGACCAGCTCGTTGGAAGCACAGGAAGCTTAGGCGGTTTCAGGATGGCCACAGAAGATTTGAGGGCCTTGCACAAAGCCACATCAGGGGAGCTTGAGGCCTCATCCAGTGGGAACAATCCCATACTTAAGGAGAAACAAAGAGGCTAGAAAGCCTGCGACCTCAAGGGCTCTACACTGACCTCGCGAGATTGTGAGAAGCAAAGAGGCTAGAAAGCCTGCGACCTCAAGGGCTCTACACTGACCTCACGAGATTGGCGGCCTCTATGGGTTCATGGGAGCAGTGTAAGGAACTCTTCGACTAAGTGAAAAAGACTAACTCGACTAGGAGGCTGATGAAAAGTCCACCTCTTCGGATGCCCACACACTCGATGGTGAGGCTTCGGGACTGGAGGTGCCGATCAGTGACCTGATACGACTCGCCCGGGATCCACATAATGTGCGACTGGGTACTGTATCTAGGTGTCACAGCCATTACGTGAACCCCCTCAGGTAGGGAATGGAGTAGACGCCACTCTGCCGCTTCTTTAACCCCCCCTGCATCGCGTCTCGCCCTGCAAGGGAGGTAGGTCGACTCTTCTCTTTATCTTGAGCGATGTTCCATGCTTGCCGGTAATAAGCAGCCCGACTGTTGCCCACCAGAATATATGGGCCCTTGCTGTTTCTATCTATTTAAAAAAAAAAAAAAAAAAAAAAAAAAAAAAAAAACTACATCGAAACACTTCTGAAGATCGTGCTGATCCCCAAGGGAAACATTCAGGTTGGTTCTGCCTACCAACCCCAAGTTGACGAACCCCAGTAGGCCTGACCAACAGCAGTTCCGACATTCAGTCTCAGGAAAAAAGGGCAGCGTCAACAATGTTGCTTTGAATACATGGTTGCAAGGACCCAAGGTCGTCTGGGTCCTCACACAGCAGACGATCAAGCCCAAAGGGGTACGACCCAGTCAGGCCAGGTATTAGGTCCAGCCAGGCTGTCTGTGACCCACTAGGGCAAGGCTACTAACCAGAAGTCTCCACAAGGCAGTGCCTTCAACGCGAAAAGAAGACCGGCCAAAGTGCTTACGAAATCTCCGATAAGTCAAACTAGTGTTGGTCAGACAGAGGGATTTTGTCAAACACACTGCAAGGCAATCGTGCTGAGCTGCGCCATAACTGAGTTCAGAGAGAAGGATGTTGCCGTGTTGATTCGGAGTCGTGTTGACTGGCGTCAAGACTGGAGCAGGGAAGAGCACAGTATCAGACGAGCAGCAGCCACGACTGGGGAAGGCCGGCCAGCAGCATGACAGCTTTGGGCGCTCGGGAAGGAGGCTGGTGCATCACAGGTTGGGCGCCGGAGAAAGCAACAGTGCAGAAACCAGCTGCGTAGAAAACAAATCCACTCAACAGAAAGCCTGCACGACGCTTTCCGTGGTTCTCCCGTACCAATGTAGATGCCCAGCAATGCATGGTCAGTAGCAAAAAGCACCCAATGGCATGATGAAAGATGCACTGCAAGAGATTTGCGGAAACCGTCTGGCTGTGCAGGAAGCAGCCCTAGGTGGAAAGCAAGCAGCCGTAGGAGGAAAGTAAGCAGCCAAGCAGAAAAGCGCTGCGAATTACTCACTCGAGTGCAGAAGAGTTTGAAGCACCCGTGGTTGGTCTACTCACTGGGTTGAGCAGGACCTCAGGCCCAAATGTCTTACTGATTGCACCTACGTGGTTGAACGTAATCGCACCATTACAAACTAGAAGGACCCACAAGATGGGCCAATGCACCTCTTCCTGCATGAGAAAGAGACGCCTCTTCCTGCATGAGAAAGAGACGCCTCTTCCTGCATGAGAAAGAGATGCCTCTTCCTGCACGAAAAACAGAGTACTGATGACGATACTCTCTCTCTCTCTCTCTCTCTCTCTCTCCCCCATGGGCACTGTGCTCGCTTTGAAAAAAAGAAAGAAAGGATGACAGCCTTGTATCATCATTGAACTGTCCAGCCCGGGGTAAGTTTTGATGATGTGATTCCTTCCATCAGGATTCGAAAGTCGGTCTGCTGCTTTGACAACAACACGAAACGCAAGGGAAGAAAAGTACAAACTAATGACATCTGGTCAAAGGTAGCAACTGGGCAAACCCGGCAAAGGTATTCAAAGGCCCCGGCAAAAGCATGGGGCGTGAGGGGACTGAGGAACTCTGAGATGTTAAGAACGGAAAGAGTTGGACGGGGACTCGCCGTAAGTCCCGTTTATACTAGGTTTCAACAGGCATCGATTTATTGTCACTGAACTACCCGGTAGTCTTCACCCGAATAGAACGCCCGGTAATTAGCGCTGTATCTGGACTGGAAGTTGGCCCCAATACGGATATAATGACCGGACATTCTATTCGGGTGAAGACGGTAGGAACAAGTTGCCATCCTGTGTACTTTACAATCATATCTGACCTGTACTTTTGGAGAACGATTAAAATTGGAATGATACACAGAAGATTAGCATTGCCCCTGCGAAGAATAACATGCGTAACTGGAGATCAGCATTGCCCCTCTGAAGGACGACATGCATAAATTGGAATGATACAGAGAAGCTTAGCATTGCCCCTGCGAAGGATGACAGGCATAAATGGAGATTAGCATTGCCCCTCCGAAGGATGACATGCATAAATCGAGAAATGGTCCAAATTCTTAGCAATCACATCTGATGAAAGGTAGCACCTAACACAGAGGTACACAAAGGCAGCAGTGGCAAGAGCATGGGAAGTGACGGGACTGAACACAGAGAATTTAACAACATAGGGGATGACAATTCGACATCAAGTCGGCTGTCCTTGGGTGGTACAGCATATATCTATTTTTGTGACTTACCCTAACTGCACCAGGAACAAGTTGTCGTCCTGCGGATTTAGCATCACTGACACAATTTTGTTGTCGAGTATCTTTAGATATATAGCCCGGTCTCGCTTTGGATCGAAGCCACAAATGCGCTTGTCCATTCCACCCGAGAGGATAATCGCCCGGTGCCTCAGTCCGTCCACACCACTCACTGCAGACGAGTGCACATCTCGATGAATCATCTTAACCTTCAGTTCCTTCGAGTCCTCTGTGGCACTCCACATTGCTACACCATGGTCGCTACCGCCAGTGATGAAATGGGAATAGTCATCCCATGCCAGGAAAACCACGGAGTTCAATAATCCCCGATCATGGGGCTTATTTGGCAAAAACGTGATCTTCGGCTTCTGGCATCCACCAACACAATAGCCAAGCACATCGCTTTGTTAAAAAAGCTACACTCATGCACTGACCAATACCGTGATCTTTGGCTTCTGGCATCCAGCAAAACAACAGCACCGCACATCGCTTCTTTAACATAGCCGCACCCATGCACTGACCTGTTTCATGATTGAAAAAAAATAGCCACATCTGTTGACTGACGCATTTGGTGATAAGCCCTCTTTCTCTGCGCCTTTCTCAACCTTTTAGGAAAGGGGGAAGGGGGAGACGGGAGCCAGGGAGGGGGAAAGGCAAAATGAGTCAAAAATGACTCTTCAATTACTGACAGAGCAGGCTTTGCTGTCCATGCAGTCAGAAACATCCAAATGTTTTGTTCGCCACCAAGTAGTCCATTCCACTTTCTAGCTCACTCTCAAAGTCCCATTTAGAGAGCATCAGCTTTGCAGCAGGATTTGAAAACTTGGAATGAAGGCCCAGGCCCCACTAGTGTTATGTTTGTGCTTCACAAGCATGAGACGTCATCGGAAAAATCGCAAGGGTCGTGCTCACATAGGGCAAAAATAGCACCACTAGGGTCAGGCCCCAATGTGTGCAATGCTCTGGCTACCCATTCATGAAGCTTGCCAGTTTTACAGGCAGGTTCATGCTTTCTGAGCATCAGTATACGGGCGGGGCCATCAGCTTTGCAGCAGGACTGAAAACATGGAATCAAGGGACTGCCTTCAGGATGCAGCATTCCAAGTTTAACACTCCCAGAAGGTATTCCTCTAAGCGGTTCACACAACCGCCTTTAGGTTTGCCATTAGAGAATGATACAGATACAGATTGTCAACAAATGCCAGACATTTTTCCACTGCCCCAAAGGTGGGGAAGTTTATTAAAATAGCGGGGGGCATATCCACTAGGTGGGTGAAGGCAACATGGAATTTGAGGCATGGTTCCCCTGGTGCTATGTTTCGGCTGCTACCATCTTCACCGGAATCAAATGCCCGGTCATCATAGCTGCATCTGGACTGACAGTTTGCCCCAACTACGGACATAATGACCGGGCCTTCTATTCGGGTGAAGACGATAGGGGAATATGGTCAGTTCTCCCGGCAGGTTGACCCTTTTCAAACATGAATAGAGCACAAGTGGGGCCTTGCCGTCAGGATGTGGCATTTGAAGTCTAAACATTCGCTGAATGTACTTATCATCCAAAAGGTTTACTTAACTCCCTTTCAATTTACTATTACAGACTTGCAACAAATGCCAGAAAGGTCTCCGCTGCCCTAAACAGAAAAGTTGATTCTAATAGCAACTAAGCCAAGCCGTCTTCCTGAGAAAGACTGCCTCGAGAATCGAAGCAAAATTCCATCTATCAACGCAAGCTTTCCAATTACGCTCACAGTACTTCGACTTCATCACCAAGTATGTCCATCAGTGTGCAGATCCTCTGGGCACTTCCCCCTGTCTTCTCGGATAAAACACATCATAAGGGAAAGAGCAGAACCATGTGCTGTCTATCCGTACTGGTTCTCCCCATCATCCGTAACCCACAAGGGCCACAACCAGTAAATCAGAACATGACCCTGTTCCAATTACTGCAGACAACAGTCAGGTCTGATGATGTTTAGCCGACTCTGTGTGTGTGTGTGTGTGTGTGTGTGTGTGTGTGTGTGTGTGTGTGTGTGTGTGTGTGTGTGTGTGTGTGTGTGTGTG